TAACATTTAAGCAGCTAAGCAGAATGGAGAAGCCGCAACCCACTCCAGTATCTTGCCTAAGAATGGAGTATTAGTGACTGGTCAATAATCATTCAGTATTGTGGGATCCAAGGAGAGGTGTTTCAACAATAGTCTTACTATTGCCTCCTTTAAACATCCTGGGATCCTGCCCTGTTGCAAGGAGGCATTCATCACTCCTCCTACCCACTCAACCAGTTCCTTTCTGCCAGCTTTTATAAGCCAGAAAGGGCAGAACTCCAAAAGGCATGTGGTAGCCTTAACCTCTCCAAGGGTCTTGTTGACATCATCAGGGTGCAGAAACTGAAAATCATCCATTGCGCAGGGCAAGCAGGGGCCATAGTTACATTCACAGGACTTGTATGAACTACAACATCCAAATCAATGTGGATCTGAGGAATTTTGAATTATTTAATATGGCTGTGTTTAATTGTTGCTTTCTTTTCTCCTTTCGGCAGAAAAACTATGGGAAGGCAGATGAAGACTGTAGGCATGGTATGTAGTTTCGATTATTTCTTAAATTATGTAGAAATGTCCCAGTTCTTCCAAGTTCTAACCATTCAGCAGTGACACAAAAGCAAAATTGTCAGATACGGGACTATTTGTTTGGCTTACCTTTTTAAAAGCACTGTTTTTCAAAAGCAATCATGCAGTACTTTATAGGGTGTGAATTCAGAAGGTATTAGTAATCTAACGGCACATTTTGTGTGGAGTTGAGTTTATCTTCATGACTGAAGGAGACCTTGTACCTGAAAAAAGATTTGGCCATTCTATCTCTGTGCTGAATTGTTTCACAATTCAGTAACATTTCTGAAATACAGCATGCTGAATCTAGTTCAGTGTAAGTATGGTCACGATCCTAGTGGTGGGGGTTGTCCAGCAGAAATTCATTGTCCTCTCTGAGGATAGCCTAACTTCAAAAGTCAAAAAGAGAGGCAGAAACTGGAAGATGAAATGTGAACCACAGAAATGTGAATGAAAAGAAACTAGAGAACACAAAAGAGAGAGCATTTTATATCCAATATATTTCCAGTAAAGGATATCAAGCACAATCTTTTTAGTGTCTCCTACAAATTCAAGGCCACACAGTTCAATATGACTTATTTCTAGGCACATAAATATCTATTAGGATAATGTGTGTAGAAAACAAAGCAAATGAAATCTTGTGCCACTTTAACCTCTCATCCTAGCAGATAGTACATTTTAGTACCCCAGAAGTCACACTTTGTTATAAAAATCACACAAAACTAGATGACAGAGTTGGCAGTTCCACCTGAAGAGCTGTAAGCAACACCCCTGAGTTTCAGCCAACTGCCATTCACAGGTGTGTGTTTTTTTTACTCCACTACAGACAATGTAGAGACAAACAAGTAACTCTAGGTTTGCTATGAACCCAAGAGCCTGTGTGCTAAGAGAAGATGGATGCAGTTTTGAGTTCACTGAGGGAGATTTATATTTTTTAAGGTGAAGGAGTTTGGAATGTAACACAAAGAATTACAATCAGCCTTCTGATTTGTGTATCTCTTTCTACGCTCTTTCCTTTTAACAACTTATTTAAAGAAAGGAAAATGTTCTGGAAAGCCTCTGTATTTCTGTGCACTCTGCATCCATGCTTTTGTGCTTTTTGGTTGATACCAACTAAATATGTTTTTTGTTTACCATGAAATACAATATATTGGGACATAAATGTTCTAGGAATTTTCATGGTCAAAATATATTGCAAAGAAGCTGCTGTAAGTGCTTGGATGAGCAACTGTTCCTTCCCACTGTCTTGACTAGAGAGAAAGGAGAAGATGACTATAATCCAAAACTGTATAATCTGCATAAACAACTGATTGTTTACTAAAGTGGTGAAGTATCCCGTTTGTAAAGGTGGAAACATGCATCATTTGCTTTGCAGCCAGGCTGTCGGGAGCCCACAAAGAGTTTGAAGTCAGAATTCACTAGACTATAAAACCGTAGCTGTCCCATCAACTGTTTGTTCAGATTTTTCAGATTTCCAAAGGGCTTTGCTGTGGTCTTGATGGAATGGTTGAGGATAGGAAGTATGACCCCGCATAACTGTTGCTCCACAGTGAGTTTGATTTGTGGGAGAGGTTACTCCCCATTGAGAAATGCAGGGATAAAAAAAGGACACAGCTGTTTCAGTGTTATGTGTTTTGTAGTCCAGAAGTGCAATAAAAGGAAAATGGTGTTTGTCAGGGGAAATTGAAATGACTCGTTCACAGTGACTGAGAGATTGGCCTCTGTATGGCTGATAATGAATACTCTGCAGTGCCTGTTGACATCTGCCCAGGAGGGGAATACATTGCTCTCTTAGAGCATTTCCTATGTGCAATGCAGTTGTGGAGTGGTGCTGAACATGCTTTAGAGTATATAGGGAAAGGATGGGTTCCATGGCAGTCCAGGGGGCAGAAGAGCAAGTGGTTGGAGGGCAGCATGTGCAGATTTAGCTGAAGCTGTCCAGGAAGGACTAAGTAGAAATGCTGATGTCATGAGATGTTGGGATGGAAGGACACAGTACAGATTTCCATAGACAGTTTGCTAGAGAGGGCTCAACATTCAGGAATATCCAGGATCAGAAAAAGATACAGTGGTGCCTCGCTTAACAATTGCCTCGTTAAATGACAAAACCGCTATACGATGACTGTTTTGCAATCGCTTTTGCGATCGCAAAACGATGTTTTAATAGGCAAAATCTGCTTTGTGATGATCGGTTCCCTGCTTTGGGAACCAATTCTTCGCATTATGATGTTTTTAAAACAGCTGATTGGCGGGGTCAAAATGGCCACCCACTGTGTAAAATGTCTGCCCGCTATGTTTTTGGGATGGATTCCTCGCTTTACAGGCACTGAAAATGGCTGCCCCTATGGAGGATCTTTGCTGGACGGTGAGTTTTTCAGCCCATTTGAACGCATTAACCGGGTTTTAATGCATTTCAATGGGATTTTTTATTTTGCTTAACGAGGAATTCGCTCTACAGTGGTTTCGCTGGAACTGATTATCCTTGTTAAGTGAGGCACCACTGTATAAAGCAAAGAAGCAGTGCTAGAAGACATTAAATTGCTCCTCACAGAAAGTGTTCTTTGCTATTAAGGCAAAGATTGTTGCCTTAATCCTCATCTAGGAAGATAGAAGGGAAGAGAAACATAGCTTGTTAGTAGAGTCCATCTTGGTTGCATTGTGGTGAAACACTGGATGAATCATGTTTCCACTTTGGATGAAATGTGGTGAGAGACAGGTTTTTCATCAGCTCAGGGGTGCTAGAAGTTATGCTTAACACTTGTGCTTACATTGGGATGTTCAGCAAAAAAAGAGTGTATGTTTTCTTTCCCCAGTTCATTCTTCTGAACTAGGGGAACGGCTAAAGAGACCAGAAGACAGTGCATTACATGTTGGAAATTACATTGCAAAGGCCATAGAAGTGATATTCACTACTTGTCTGTAGGGTGCCCTGAACAAAGAGCAACCCTTCATTGCAGGGAATGTGTTTCAACAGACTATTTTGTTGTTGTAGTAGAAAATTGTCCTGTAAGTCTGTTAATTCTAGCTCTTTTTGCAAAACATGGGCCCCACTGTTTTCTTTAAGGGCTTATGCTGATTGCTGAATGTCTGGGCATTCAAAGCAAGGTTTTTATTGTTTATAATTAGAAATAAGAAGACACAGATTTTGTGTTGGTTACGTTGCTTTGCAAAAAAGGGGAGGGCTAGTAGTAGTTTGAAATAAGCACTCCTGTTCATGTGAGCATTTGTGTTTTGGCTCTGAGTGCTTGGGTATTATGGAATAACCTTGCATCCACAACACTCATATGGACATGGGGCATATTCATGGCCTGCAAAAAGCAGAAAATACTCCAGAAATTACTCAGTGCACTTTTTAAAAATCTGTTTGAATAATGGTCAGCAGTATCATATTTATTTGAATATGAGCTGTGTCTTCAGACCCATGGTGTACAGTATTTAAGATGTAGGTTTGTATCCATACTGTGTCTACTTTGTGTGTAAGGGCAGGGTGGCCCCAGCTGAGCCTCCATGTGGTAGACTAAGCATTATACTCCAGGGATCTGAAGAACATCATCTATTTAAAATACATGGGAAAGTGTAGTAGTCTTGGGTCTTTTTTGTTTTGTTTCTGCTTCTGAGCGGGAATAGGCTAATGTGGCTGTCTTGTTGAGACTATAGCTAATGTTAATTCTGTACAGACAGAATGGGGTGGCTTGAGTTAAATGTGTGCTGTATTTTGGTAAGTAACTGTTTGGTTTTGTTTGCAGCATTGGGAGAAGGACTGGACAGGGAAGGTGACACTTTCCGTGCAGTGCTTTGCTACATGCATCTTAAAGGAAAGCTGCAGGTTGTATCTAACGCTCTTTCTAAATCACTGATGGGCGAATCACTGGTAAGTGGCTACTGACTGGGTCCATAGTTTTAAAAATTAATATAGTTTAGATGAATAGCAGGATAACTGTACCCTCCATGGTGTTAACATATTAAAAATGGTTATCAGTGGTGCTGATATATTTAAAAATACAAGCACTTACGGAGGAAGCGAAATACAGTTCTTCTCCTCTGTAACTGAGCCAGCAGAGTGTCAGGTGCTTCGTGGAATATATGCATGGATTTTAAAAACAACTTATCTGTACATACTGTAGGTACAGTGGTGCCTCGCTTAACGATTACCTCATTAAATGACGAATCCACTTGACGCTGAGGTGTTTGCGATCGCAAAACGATGTTTTAATGGGTAAAATTCATTTAACGATGATCGGTTCCCTGCTTCGAGAACTGATTTTTCGCTTAACGATGGTCTGAAAACAGCTGATCGGCAGCTCTCAAAATGGCTGCTGGCTGTGCAAAATGGCTCCCCGCTGTTTTTAGGACAGATTTTTTGCAAGAGAGGCACCGGAAAATGGCCGCCCTATGGAGGATCTTCGCTGGACAATTAGGTATTTAGCCCATTGGAATGCAATGAGCGGTTTTCAATGCGTTTCAATGGGGTTTTTTCCCGCTTGACAACGATTTCGCTCTACAGCGATTTCGCTGAAACGGATTAACATTGTCGAGCATGGCACCACTGTATAGTGTACAAGCAGGAAGGCACTTCAGCTTGCACAGGCAGAGCCCAACCTAAATTCTTCATTTCCTCCACAGTTGCATGCACCCCATCCCATACTGTGCCAGGTTGTTCTTCCATGCTGAGGAAGAAGATTTTTTTGAGGGGTAAAATCCCAAAAGTTAAATATGTAGACTTTAGTAACTGGATCAAACACTTATTTATTTCTTTACAAGATTTTTTAGCTGGGCCATTACCAATGGTCTCTGAGCGGCGTACAGCAATATTAAAACTTTAGAACCACATTAAAAGCCATTAAAATTATAAACAATTTTATAATAATACCCAATATTAAATCTGTCAGTTTATCATTAATAAATCCTGCTGTTCAGATGGCCACCTAAAGGATACTATTTAATTAAAATGCTGGCTAAACAGAAAGGTCTTTGCCTGGTGCTGAAAAGCCAAAAGTGTCAGAGCCAGGCAGATCTCTATAGGGAGAACGTTCCAAATTTGGGGGGGGCAACAGCCGAGAAGGCCCTATTTCGACATGCCATCCCCCTCACCTCTTTCAGGATTGGCTCAAATTTGTCTCAAGTGAACAGATTGTGTCAGTTCATATGTTAACCTTAAAGACAGGGGGTTTCTTTTTCTTTTTCTTTTTATTGATCTTTATGGAAGACCTACATGTGCAACACACAGGTTCAGAATATATTACTATGAAAAAAAAAGTGTTTTAATATTCAGGTCGATTGCATTTTTTAAATAAAAGAAAACAAAAAATAAAGCAAAATAAAATAAAGAAGTGGTATTAACTGATTTTTTTTGTTATTGTATTTACCCTTGAAGAATCCACTGTGGTACCATCATGTTTCATTTAAACTAATAAATAAATGATATAAAAGGACTGCCCAAATGAAACCTGAGTAATAATGTGCTTATGCACAGCTGTTATGAGTTGCATTGGATCCACTCCACACTTCTCACAAACCCAGGACTGTTGTCTTGTTTTCATAGAAACACAGAATAATTGAATTAGAAGAGGCCTATAAGGGCATTGAGTCCAACCCCCCTGCTCAGTGCAGGAATCCAAATCAAAGCAGATCTGACAGATTGTTGCCCCATTTTCTCTTGAATGCTTCCTGTGTTGGAGCACTCAACACCTCACAAGGCAATTGGCTCCATTGTCATACTGCTCTAACAGTTAAGAAATTTTTACTGATATCCAACATAAATCTGGCTTCCTATAGCTTGAGCTCATTATGTGTCGGGCACTCTGAGATGATCGAGAACAGATCCTGCCCCTCCTTAGTTTGACTGCCTTTCAAATATTTGAGGTAGCTTTTAACCTTACTGATGTAGAGAGATCTGCAGTTATACCTTTATTAGGCCATCTAGGGAAAAAGAAAGTGTGGAAGCTTTCAAGATCATCATCAGGAAGGATGTTTAAAAAGTAAAGGGGATGGGGAGGGGATGGACTTAAAACTTAAAACTTGCTTTTTGTTAAGTTCCCCCTTTCCCTGTTTGCATCTGGTCTCTTCTACTACAGGGCAAGACAATATGATGATTACAAGGACTTTAGATCAAACCTTTTCATCTCCCCACTTACTTTTGTAACATTTTCCTTAATGACAATCTAATAATTTGAAGGTGTGCAAATGTGTTGCTCCTTTTTGGTTTACCTAAGATACTACCTCAGTACAGATTTCTAAAGATATTTGCTGGTATCTGGTACTGTGCTTCAGACATTCAAGGGCTTGCAAACTCATTTGATCTGGGGTTCACATTTCACTGCTTCAGCTATTGCTTTTTATTGTGGGTTAAGAAAAGAGATCTCAGCTGGAGGATTCAGAGGAACTCCCTCCTCTCATCCTAAGTTCAGCAAATAATCATGGCCTGGCCGGCCCCAGGTTTGAAGTTTTGAACTGTCCTTGTGTTATCAGCGTTATCAGTTGTTTTGAAGAATGGCTCAGTACAGACAGTTTCATGTCTGGGAGAAGCATTCTATTAGGAATAAATAATGAACCTGCAGCAGGCAATATTAGACATTTTTCAGATTTCTAGTTGTATAAAATATTTTGCTCATATTATTCATTTTTATACCGGCAATACTCAATATGAATGCTAGTATTCTCTAATGTAGTTTCCCTCTTTTTAAACTGCCTTGTTGATACGTTGAAAATATGAGATAAGCATTCAGCCAAATGCTACATTAAAATAAATAGCATGGAGAATGGCACAGTGCCTTTCAAGACTGCAGTTGAGAAACAGAGATAGAAAAAGATCTCGCAGTTTGTAGTTCATATAGTAGTAGACAAATTGGCCACATGTGATACAGTAATATTTTTTCTTGGCAGAACGGGATGGTAACTAAAGATCTTACAAGGCTGAAAACACTTCTTGTTGAAACAGAGGTAAGACTATATAGACTGAAAAAATATTTTTTGCTGGGTTTAGTTTTAAACATCCTGTGCTATTTATCAGAACAATCTAAACATCACTTTTAAAAGATTTTTGCATAGTAATTAATTTACTTTTCGACTTCAGATTTGTTTCCAGTAAATAAAAACAGGCATAAGAAAATGTACAAATTGCTTTCTGGGGGCTTGTAATAATGCAGATGAAAAGAATATAGAACTTTATTTGTTCTTCTTTGGTAAATAATTTCTTTGTCTCATAGTCCTAGAGTAATTTAAATGTTCAGTTATAAACATGTTCTAGTGTTTGTTATTTGTTTATGGAAAACTGTTTCCATCTTCTTGAAAAAAATGTATATCTCCTTTTCTTACAACATTGAACCATTAGGCAGAATGTAGTATTAAAATACAAAAAGTTTAGAGTAAGCAATATTGAAAGTTAAAAAAAATATGATAGCAGCTACTGATCAGGACTCCTAAAGTAGTTTGGTACTGCTATACTTAAATTCTTTGAAAGAAACTGTGTATTTTAAAAGCAACTACATTCCTCTTTAGTTCTTTCAAAATTCACAAATCCAAGAATAGCAGCATGAGACATAGCAGAAGGCTGTACTTGAATTTTATGATATTCCTTCTCTTTGAAGAAGCCAAGCTCCATGTCTGGAAAAGCATCTTTTAAAAATGAAATTCCATTATGAAAGGCATTATTCCCAGTTAATTTACAGTTGTAATGTAATTTAGTTTTATCTTTGTTGTTGTTAAAAGGAAGTAATTATAGGTAACTTCTTATTTCTAACTCAGTATGTCTAGGCTCTAGTAAAAGAAATGAAAATGTATGAACCATAACAAGAAAGACATATGGTTCATTTTAGCTCATAATAAGCTTTGTTAGCTCAGTTAGAATTCTTGGATAAACAATATTTTTGACAGAGCCCGAACTGTTGGGAGCTCTTTGGGTAGGACTTCCCTATTGGGGTTCCAACACAACAAAGGCTGTTATGTCACAGGGAGGAGAGTTTTGTCTGTAGTGCATAAGTACTGAAGCTTGGTTCAGGTATAATTCTAAAATATACAGTAGCTTAGTGTTAAATGAATAACCGTACCCCAACCTTGGGTTCACATTGTGCTCTCAGATGGTTTTTACCTGCCACTGTAATGTTGATTTTTATAAATTATGTTCCATTAAAAATTTTTGGTCCTGCCAAATAGTGAAATCATAGGGGACGTGGTGGCGCTGCGGCTAAACCGCAGAAGCCTCTGTGCTGTAAGGTCTGTAGATCTTCAGCTGTAAGATCAAATCCACATGATGGAGTGAGCGCCCGTCACTTGTCCCAGCTCCCGCCAACCTTGTGGTTCGAAAGCATGCAAATGTGAGTAGATAAATAGGGACCACCTTGGTGGGAAGGTAACAGCGTTCCGTGTCTAAGTCGCACTGGCCATGTGACCACGGAAGATTGTCTTCGGACAAACGCTGGCTCTACGGCTTCGAAACGGGGATGAGCACCGCCCCCTAGAGTCAAACACAACTGGACAAAAATTGTCAAGGGGAACCTTTACCTTTAAATAGTGAAATCATAGTGGAATGTGTTAAATATTCTTTTTTACATTTTTATGCAATTAGCATTTAGAATTCTATTTGACAGTTCTAGTAATCGCCTTTGTACTAAGGTCTGTGCTTTGTAATTGCAGGTAGCAGCTGGTAAACCACCCTCGGTATACCATGCAGAGGAGCTAGAAGAAGGTAAATTAAAAACAGATGGCTGAGCTCTGTTTTGTGTTAAGTTATAATGGGCTTGAATTTCTGTCCCAAGAAGTGTTGGTGATGCGTATTTAGCAGGAGGTAACTTTCTCCTCTTATTTCTAGCAGCCTTTTGAAGAACCTCTCCTAGTGGTTGGGGATGCTCCTGATTAAGATGGATTGCAGGGTGAAGCAGGGTGGGTGCTCACAAAAGATCAGGCAGATACACATTTTGTGATTGATGCTTCCACTCATAGAAGTTGCTTCCATCTGATTTAGGGTTATTCCAGAACTTGGACATTCCTTACTTTTATGGATCATCACCAGAAAAAAGACTCTTAAAATTTAATGTTCTAAAAATAATACTTGAAAAGTTATGGTAATGATAATTTAACACCATTATGGGGCATACCCTCTCCATATATCACTTCATCCTTCAGTTTTCAACAAGAACAAAGGTTCTGTCTCCTCTTGCAAAAGTAAATTTAATCTGGGTGATCCAACTGTGTAAATGCTTTGGATTACAATACTTGGAAGATTGAGTTACGGTTGTCAGGAGCCTATCACATTTCTCAGGGCTTCTGAATACCATAAGACCATCAAAAAGGGTCTCTTCTTGTTGTGCAAATCTACTGTTGAACTGCTAGACACGGACAACTCAGCTACTACGTTTTGAATCCCGTTCTTTCAGGCCAGTTCAGTTCATATGTATATGGCACTTTATTGTGTATTTATTTTATTTGGGCAGACAGTTTTGCAACCACCCAAGGGATGGCAACTCAAATCAGGTCTTCAGCATTGGGTTGAACCATGTTCTCCACTAGAGAGGCCTTTAGGGGAATGGCTGTGCAGATGAATCCCAGCTTCATCAGGCACAGATGTCTTAGGCCCATGTTGCATGGGCCTGTGCTTTTAGGCAGCCCTTCCTATATGTTAGAAAAGTATAACTGAGAGAGTTTGTTTGTATGGAGCAATGATTCTCAGTTTTGGAACTCTTTGTGGGCTTTAACTGTATCTCTGAGATGCAAAAGACATAAGACTTTTAGCACTTTTAACTAAAGCTGCTGAATATTATAGTTCAAAAGCACTTACAAGGCTAAGTTTGGGCTACCCAGTATGCTTTCAGTTTTGGAAGGTAAGTATAGGCCCTTTTCTGTTTTGTATGTGTGTGGGGGGATATGGAATGACAAGAGGAGGGCCAACCGGTACTTCAGTTTCCTCATTAATAACTTTAATGAGTCAAAGTGTTCATTTTTTGGTATTAATAGTAATATTCTATTGTTCAGCTTTGGAATTAATTTTCAAAGCTAACTTTCCAAGTAGTGGGTGATTGAGGAAGAGTTCTACTCTGCAGAATTTTTAAATTAGATAACAATTTAGCATTGCTGCTAATGACCTAAAACAGTTCTGCAACTTTAATATGTTCTCTAATCCTTTTGTTTGGTGATTTTTCTCTGTTTCTGATACTAGTCTGATATCCTCTTTCCTTCACTACAGCTCCCTTTCTCTAAAGAGAAACTCTATCCTTTTATAGTATAATTCAATTGAATCATATAGTGCCTCATAAGTAGCCACTACTGGTCCTGGCGGTGTAGTGAATACACAATCCTTCCTGCCTTGCATGTGCTTTCTGATTTGTGTAAAAAGATGATAAAGTGGTCTTGGATTAGAAGAATTCCCAATTTTTTAAAAAAATTATGAGTCATTGAGGCAAACGATCATTGGCTTCCTCAGTCATAGAAAGTCATGTTGTCAATCAGGTTGGGATTGAACTGTTTCACTGTTTGATGCTTGAAATTGGTGATCCGTCCCATACCATATAATTGAACCAAGTGTATCAGGAATTATAGAATAACAGCAACCATAAATATAACAATGATATTATAATTACCTCACAGGATCTCAGGATGGCTGGCAGTTTCGCCCCCCACCCAGGGGAGTGACAAGTAGTGAGGAGTACACATTATGCAAAAGGTAAAATGATATTTTTTTTTCATTATCTCTAAGTGTCGCTTGATATACTTAAATTACTTGAGAAAGATAGAAATCTACCATCTAGCACACAAGGCCTTGAAGACTGTACATGTCTAGGGAAGAGAAGATTTTTCATTCTCTCTCCCATACTTTCCTCACTTATATAACTATTACTACTTCTCCTTCTCTCTAGCTCTCTCTTTTAAAGTAAGCTATATAAATGAACCAAGTGATTCATTGAAGATTTTAAAACATGCATATTATGCTTAGCGAGCTGGATAGTTCACTGAGTTAGGTATCTATCTGGAAAGTCAGACCTCAGGAATTTGATTTCCTACTGTGCTTTCTGTGAAAAGAGCTAGTCTGTGTAGTCTTGTGCAACCTGCACAGTCCAAGAAGAAGGGAATGGGAAACCACTTTTGAGTATTCTGTACCTAGAAAACCCTGCAAAGATTTCTCATAAGACAGAATTAACTTGAGGGCAAGTGATTATTATTATATCATGCCAGCTCAGCATTGGTCATCTTTTGGTAGTGAAAATGGAATTGGCCACAGGCTATACCATACAATTCAAGCCATTTGCATTGTAAAGATTGAGAAAAATGGATATATTAGCAACAAGTCTTTTAGGTGAGTATTTACCTAAGAGAATAAACTTAAAATTAGAAAACTGAAATGATTGAGTGATTTTAAGCAGTTTTAAAACATCTTCATCTGTTAAACACTCTTTCTCATTGGCTCAGTTATTTATTAAAATGCTTTTTATTCAGTTGTCTTCCTCTAAGCTACACACTTTATTCAGTACAGTTTTATTAGAATGATTGTACATTATACATCAAAGTTCAGCAGCTGCGAGACTGATTTTCCACAGTATGACCTCATAGAAAACACCCATTCATCTTAATAAATGGTTTAACTTTTGTTATGTTACATTAAGTCTCTTCCAACTGTAGCCCTAATACTCCATTGACTATACCACATTGGTTGTTAGTGGTTTAATACTTACCCTGAAAACATAAAATTGTATAGCTAAATATTAATTCCATTGTTACTGTTGAAAGGAACACATAAACCCTCTCCTTTCAAGCAGAAGCTCATTACCTTACTACACATAACATTTAACAAGTCATATTGCAGACTTCACCTCAAAGAGAATCTCATGCCTGACTGAGTTCAGGAAGACACATGATGTAGAACTGAGGATCTCTGTGTTCAATAAGAAGGATCTTTTGAATTCTGAAACAGACAACACAGTGGATCACCTCTTGAAAACCTAGGACCAAAGCGAAGAAGATGGAGATAGTCAACCACAGCATCATCCCAGCTTTTCTTGGAAGAAACTATTGGTTGAAATCCAGCAATCTAAAATAACACTGTCTTAAGTCTGGTGATGTCATCAGCTGTGGCTATATTATGTTAATAAAACTTCCCTATACCTCTTACCAACCCCTCCCCAGTTCCTAGTCTCCCTTAGGCTCCCTCTGATCCTGGGAAGCAGGATGGTGGGGGGAATCTTAAAGGAGCCGTGGAACCTTGTGGAGGGAGAGAACAGGACACTTTTTATTGACAAGTTATGGCCTTGGCTGAAGACATAATCATGTGTACACAGTGTAACTTTATTACTGGATGTGCCATTTGCCCTTGTGGCCCCTGCTTGTTTTTCCCTCACAAAGGCTCATTTGCATTTTCTTCTTGCTGCCACCAGTGGATTACTTCAATCCACAATTTAAATGATGTATGTCAGAATATTTGTCTTGTAAACAGAAACAGAACTTATTTATTGGAGTGAAGCAGATTGAATAATAACAGAAGTTTCTCAGATACACATTATACATAAGCCAATCATCAACAGTTCTCTCAGTACGTACTTCTTTTCTCTTGCTGTATTAATACTACCTTCTGTACCTATTTTCCTAACCAGCCCTCTCAGTATCTGTTCCCTCTCTCTAAGACTAATCAGCTCTATCACTCTCAGTATCTGTTCCCTCTCTCTCTGACTAACCAGCCCTATCTGTATCAGTATCTCATATCAATCTCCATCTGACTCCTCCTTCTCCCACCAAGCCTCATGTAGCTACTGACTCCGCCTCTCTAGTCCTCTCATAGGTTCATGCAAATCAGCTCATGAATATGAATAGCATGAGTGACGTGGGTGATGGCCACACTGGACTTCAGTCAATATCTACTTACCAAAGTACACTTAGTCAACACAGCACAAGCGATGGTTCTAACAGTCCAAGGACCAATGTTCTTCCTCCTCTTCATTTTAAGAAAGGATCTCAATCATCAAGCAATGTTTTGGCGGCTTCTTCTCTTCATCTGCAGTCTATGATTTTTCCTCTCCCCTCCACTATTTCAGTTTGTCAATACTGCCTGCACCATTATGCCACTTGGTGGAGCATCACCATTGACACTTGGGATTATACTTTAATCCATGATAGGAATGCTGGAGAGTCAGACTCCCGTTACCCAATAGGGGTGTTCTTGTCAATACGCTCCTCTATAGAAGAGAGCTTGTTTGCTTCACAAGGGTACCACTTGCTTCCTTGGTCATCATGTCATAGTGATTTCTCCTCATGGTACTGTACTTTACTTTGCTGAAGTATGACGGCACTCCACACTTAATCCTGGAGCTTCAAGTGCCCAGAGACTAATATACCATAGAATGTTTCAGAGACTCACCTTGTCAGAATTTTTCTTGCTTCTTTGACTAGTCTATTGACTCATGTTTGTTGATATGAAGGATGTTGAAACACATCTCAGTTTGTCCCTCTCATTGTTAATATCTCTGTTTCCACTTGGTTGTCATCTCTATTAGTTTAAAGTCTTTTCTTTTGGACTGGCCCCTTTCACATTCACCAGATTTCATGATTAACTGCTTATAGTGGATTCCAGACTGAACCTGCAGTCTAATCTCTGCTTTATCTTTCCGCTTCTCTGGAATTTCAATCAATGCTCAACTAAAATTATGGATCTTCTTGATCTTGATGCTGTACATAGAGTAATTTTATAGCTTACGTTACTCTTTGTTTCAGTACTCAGAAGTGAATTCTCTTTTTCATGTGCTTGATTTGTTTCTGATAGAGTTGTGGCTGCTGTTCAATTAGTAACTATCTTTGCTAGTTTCAACGGGTACACCTCTTTTGTAGGGCTGAATTTTTTTAAACAAACCAACATTGAAGCTTGTTACTGCTGTTATGTGGTGTCAGATCACCTCTAACTCTTGGTGACCCTATGAAGGAGCGATCTCCAGAATGTCCTGCCCTCAACTGCCCTGCTCAGCTCTTATAAACTCAAGCCTGTGGCTTCCTTCAGGGAGTCAGTCTGTAAGTGTAACTGACCGATCCTAGTTGGATTTAAATGGTCTCCTATGAAAGGATTCCTTGGAGCAATGGCTTTATTGGGTAAAACATTTTACTATTCAGACAGTGCATTATAAGGTATCACCAGATGTTAACAATTAATATTCTATTTTTTATATATGAAGGAGTTTTTATTTTATTTTGTGAAACATATCCATGGAAAGATAGTGTTTTTCTTTGGATTAATTCATTAGTAAATTGTTAAAAGCAAGCTGTGTAATAAAATAGTCTTAACTTGCAACTTGAATGCATGGTTTATTTAGGAGTCTAGCAGTGACAGTTGGAAATATAAGACGTGACCCTTAATTCATATATGCCCATAAGATCCTACTAAAATACCCATACTGCTTTCAAAAAATAGGTTAGAAGTTTTCTTACTATGGACTGCAGACGGTTATAACTAGATGTTCATGTTGAAAAAATTACTGATGAGAAAAATTAATTTCATTATGGAAGAAAATCCAGAGTGAGCTATTTACATATATATTATAATTCCAAAGATGTGGAATTTGATTTGTATGGTCATATCTCTTTTGTAGTGATGTGAACCTGAAATAAACAGAAAAGACCACTTGGTGTCACTGTCACTCCATAAAATTTGGAGAGATCATGCACTGATACAGAACACAGAGAAACATGTCTACTAGTGTTTGTGTTTAATGTGTATCTGTTTGAAATTAAAATACACTTAGAAGGTAGTATTGGATAGTCATCTGCTGTTTGCCTCTTCTATTCATTAAATATCTGCAAATCGTTGGCATAAATGTTTCCTGTGGTTGTGATCTAAAGACCTGTGCTTGTGCATTATTTGACTAGCAAAGTTGTCATGTCAGATCACAAATTAATTTTGAAAGTCATTTAGTTTCAAAAGCAGCTCAGTGGTGTAGGTCTGTGGTTATGTAGTCAGAGGTTGGGAGTTCAATTCCCCGCTGTGCCTCCTTGAGAGGGGCTGGACTTGATGATCCATAGGGTTCCTTCCAGCTCTGAGGTTCGAAGGTTATTATGTATTATTATGATTAAACCTACAGAGAACTAATGTCCTTTAAAAAAAACCTCTACAAAATCCTGATCCATGCTTTTATTTGAGAAATTTAAAATCTTGTGGTTTAAAATCTCCCAAGAAAGGTCTGCTTTTGAGGGGTGTTTTTAAATGGAAGCATTGGGGAATAATAGTACTTCCTGTTTTGTGTAGATTTTTAGAGCAAGGCATCTGCAGGTATGGTGCACAGTGTACTTCAGCACATTCCCAGGAAGAGCTGACAGAATGGCAGAAACGGTATGCATCCCGCTTGATACGGTTAAAACAGCAGAAGGAAAACAAGCAATGTTTGGGGAGCTACATGGAATCCTTGATAGAAAAATGGATGAATTCATTATCTCCTGAGAAAGTGGTAAGACAAAATGAAATTACTTTTCACAGCAATGATATTTCACACTAACAAATAAGCCAGTTTTTGGCGTAATCTGCTGTCAGTTATTCATTCACAAAGGGCATTTAGAATGTGTAACACTCAGTGTCTGTATGTGTGAGTATGGAATTCCACAGTCAAACCTGTCTTCTGCATATTCTTTTGAGAACTCAAATATTTCATGGCCTTGAGTCTCTGTCAGGAGTGTACCAAATAACTCAGGATCTCACAGGTTGCCAACCTCTTGGAAGTATAATAGGGCGGTAGTATCTTAAGAGAATAAATACATTGAGGATATAAAATAAGGCATGGAAATTGATATTGTATTATTATTGTTGCCAGTATCATCTTGATAGACAGCTTCAGGTTTTTTTTAAAGGGCTTTGTGTTTATGTTTGTTCACAGATATCAAGTAAGAGTTAGGAAGATCATGGTGAGACCTAGGTATTCAATCCATTATGTCTGTTTCCGACCAAGTTTCAATATAGGAGAAATGAAATTGCTGATTTGAATTGTTAATGATAATCTAAAGTCTTTATCTCAGAAAAAAAATATGTTGATTCTGAAAGGAATAATGTGGTTTTCTTTGATACATGAATTGCTCATCACATGTTGCACATTATCAGTCATTTCTGTTGTGCCAGCAAGATTTTTGCTCTTTGTTGCATGTGTTACCTTTGTTAATTGTAGACCATAGGCAAGCAGCTTAGATATTGTCTTACAGAGGTCTTTTGTGCACCCATTGAGTCTGTAGAGCATCACCATCACCCTTCCTATACATTTTGGGGGAAAAATGAGGTTTATATCTATGGGGTGGTGCAGTTCTCTATTGTATGCCATTTGAGGTATTTTCTGGTCACTTCTGGTGTAGTCAGTAGCAGGTGTGGTTTGTTGGGATACAAAGCTGGTAGAAAATGAAGTGGATTCTCAACAGTTGTCTTACCATCCTTGAATTAGTGGTCTCCTAAGTGTAGCTCCTTGTAGTTGTTAAGGTGGCTCTTTTTGAACAAGTTATTTATTATTTATTTCTTTAATTTATATACTGCACTTTTAATGCAAAGCACTATTGGTGGCTTATAACATATTAAAACAAATCAAATAGAACAAATTAACCCGGTGGTCCAACCAAGATGGCATTACATTTCCATATTAAGACCACAAGGCATGAGACAAAGAAGATCAAGCAAGGTTGCTTTGAAATGTCCCTCTGAAGAGCAGTATCTTCAGCAGCCTCCTAAAAGTGGAGAGCGAGGGAGCCAAGCACAGCTCAACTAGGAGGTGGTTCCAAAGAGCTGGTGCTACTACTGAGAAGGCCTGGCTTCTTGTAGATGATTTTCTGGCCTTTGGAGTGGCCACCCAGAGGAGCATTGCCTGAGATGATCTGGTGGTGCATCACAGAAGGTACTCAATTGGCTTAAGAGAGGGAATATATAAAATAAGCATTAAGTCTTGATTCCCCCCGCCCCCGATTCAACCAAGGTTAAGATGGTATAAGATCCTAATCTGTGATGCCATTCTAAATTCATTACAACTGAATTTTCTCTAAGCTGTGTCTGACTACTTGTGTGTGTGTGTGTGTGTGTGAATAGGGCAGTATTTATTATAAGTCAGTTAATTAGTTATCTGTTGCAAATCTTTGCTGATTTCGCTGAAGTGAGCATTTCCAAGTGTTTGTCCTGTTAAGAATGCTTTTTCTTTATAGAAAATCAAGTATTATTCTTTCAACCTATTGCTGGCATACACTTTGTAACACTGACTTATTTTTCTAGCTTAGTGAATGCCTAGATGGTGTGAGAATTGAACACAACCCTGAGCTGTCACTAACTGTCACTACCAAAAAATCACAACAGATGTGGACATTTGCTCTCACGTGTAAGGTAAGTTTCCTGTTGTTGTTACTAATATCTCCACTACGTATTACTGTTATTACTGCAATTTGCTTTGCAATACAACATACTTTATTTAATTTTTTTTCCTGGAAATAATATGAAACTTACATGAAATTATAAGTGTTTCAGTTAACATTTTAAGCATCCTATGTTTTTGACATTTATGCTTTTAAGGGAAAGAGAACACACCCAATGTAGCTGTTTGGATTCTGTGTCTTATTTCAGCTATAGAAATGTTTCATGAGTAGATCTCTGCTTCTAATGTTCCTGCCAGTGTGTTGGTGTGGACTAGTTCTCACTGTTTCCCTCTTCTGCAGCTGCTAGTGCTTGTCCCCCAAACCCAGAAGTAGAGTTTTGAGAGTAAAAGGGACTGCAGGGGAGGGCTGGTTGACAGAAATGCCATCTTCCTGTATTGTAGCAGTGGAAATAATCCACTGGATCGGAAGCCCTGGTATGTGGAAGCAACCTCTTGGTTTGAGGCAAAGGAAATAAATTCTGGATCTAGCTCATTTAGTAGAATATGTGCGTCCATTTTTGTTACAGCTGTGAACTAAACAGTTGTGCAAATATGTGCATGGTTATAGAATTTCAGTACTGTACCTTGCTGCATTATGTGCTGAGCCCACTTTTGCCTCAAGCCTGGGACTCAGCAGGGAGCCTTGGGCAAGCCTGTTTCTTACCCTTGCCTCATTATTTATACAATTTTATTCTTTCTCAGCCTGCAAGAATCCTGTATCGGGTGGCATTGCTTTATGATGCCCATCGTCCTCATTTCAGTATCACAGCAATATCTGCTGGCGATCGCACCACCCAGGTCTCACAAGAAGTCCCATCAAACTGCCAGGAATGGATCGGAGGAAAAATGGCCCAGAATGGAATCGATCACTCTATGTACAAAATCAGCATTGCCTTTAGCACAGAAATCTTTGGGACATTTCGCCAAACTGTGGTATTTGATTTTGGGACTGAACCAGTTTTAATGCAACGAGTGATGATAGATGCTGCTTCCACAGAAGGTATTAGTTGCATTCTTTTATTTCTAAATAAAATAAAGAAATGACTATATTATCTAATTTTTTTAATAAACTGCCAGTGGGATGGTTTTTGATATGTGTAACTGTAGTATTCATGGCCCTAAATCTGAGAACTCACAGGGCTTGCTTTCTTCTGATTCATAGCCCTCTGCTTTTACTGAAGTTGTGATCTTGCTGTAATCTCTGCTTGCAGTCACCTGTTACGTTAAAAATAATAGCACACTTCATACTTTTATCATGGCATAAGGAGAGGCAAAGAGAACAATTTTTCAGCTCCTTCTAATGTGTGTTACATCAGGATTGAGATAGCAGTTTTTAATTTTTCTATTTCATTCATTTGAGATCCTCCTCTGTCCCCCAGAATTGCAACAAAGACAGTGTATAAGGTACAGAATAATAACAGTACTTCATAAGTTAAAACCTAAAAAATAATCTAAAAACTGAAGCCTCTTGTCACTTAAGCAGCTCAGAAAATGTCTTCCATTAGAGGCATTTCTCTATGACTAACATGACAGTGTACATTGTTTTTTGGCTATTTTAGGCAACAGTGGTTTAAGGTGATGGGCTAGTTCCAACTATTAGTCATAAATATGGTAGACCCATGGATTCATTAGATCTACTTTAGCTGGAATTAACAGTTGGATGTAGGATAAATGGAGATGCCTGCAGTATAGAAACTTTTATTAGCTAGCTAAATGACAAGAAAAGAGAACTAAGCAGTTTCTGTGCAGTTTGGCAAACTGAGTGTCAGTGTGGAGACTGCCTTTTCCTTTGAGTCAGGCGTCAGATCTTGATATTTCAGCCATGTCAAAGCGAAACAACAAGGCAAGACAAGGACAAGAGAATTTTGTCATTCTAAGAGAAACTTAGACAAGCACCTGGCAGATATCCTTTGAACGATATTCTTTCATCAAGCAGGTGGTTGGACTTGATGGTCTTATAGGCCCCTACCAACTTCATTATTCTATGATTTTGGTTCTATCAGCCCCTACAAGCATTATAAAAATAAATTCAAAGATAGACAGTCAAATCAGATGATTGGCAACGGTGAACAATTGGCAACAGCATTACCCACTGAGTCAGTCCATCTGCACAGAAACAGAAGAAAACTTAAACACAAAGTCTGTAGGGACTGAGCTTAGTGGGCTATTCTGGGAAAGAAGTTCCATAAGGATAATGGTGGACACACAACAAAAAGTCTTGGTATGTGGGTCAGGCTACAAGTTATAGTTGTGGTCTTGACAGTGGTGATTTCTGGACATGAAAGACTGTGCCCCCATCCTGTAGGCCTGAAAGGGAGATGAATTGGAAACATTAATTCTCAAAAAAATGGCTGTGGCTGATGACATCCTCAGCCTTACATGATGTAACTAATGTAGTCAATGTAGGCCTTTAGCAGCTCACCTCAGTTTTTGATAATGTCGATTTTCGGTGCATAGATGCTGTATTTTATTTTGCACGTGTTTTTCAGCTCTGTTTTCTGTTTGTATTCAAATTATTATTTAATTTTATTTTTCAAATGTTAATGTAAGCCATCTCAAATCCTATTTTGGGGAGAAAGCCAGGATGCAAATTGAATACATAAGTAACTAAAAAAAATCAAGAGAAAGGCACAAAGCTTACTTAGCCATTAGGCATTATATAATAGAAAAATAAAGTTGTAGTGTCATATATATATATATTTATATATTTTAATTGTATTTTAAATTTTGATTTTTTTTTGTATTTTAAATGTTGTAAGCCGCCCAGAGACCTTTGGGTAGTGTGGGCAGCATATAAACAAACAAACAAACAAACAAACAATAAATAAATAAATAAATAAATAAAGAAAGAAAGAAAGAAAGAAAGAAACAAACAAACAAACAAACAAACAATAAATAAATAAATAAATAAATAATATAGAGGGCTTCTAGAATATGGTTATTATATGCATATTCGCTGCAAGAAATGAAGCAAGAGTTCACATTCACTCATGTTGTGAGGAGGAAGTCTCCAAGCTGAAATACCCATAAGTGAAGGAAGAAAACACATTGAACAGGCAAAAATGCATCTGGCATGAGCAGTGAGATGTATCTAGCAAAAGAGAGACTAAACAGAATCGAACCTTACAGCCTTTGTGGCACTGGACATTGTTGAATCAAGGAGCTGTATTGATGTAATAACCACAGAAGGTTGTATTTTGCTGGTGTTGCTGCAATAAGTAAGGTTGTGAATGGGTGAGTTGGAGGCAGGCAGAGTGGAATGTTAATGGTAGGATGGAACTATGACAGCACCAAAGGTAATCATTTTTATGTCATTTGTGTTTACAGTCTATCTGCTCTGTGTGCAAACTAAAAAAAAAGTTAATCGGTCCTATTGTCTACTCAGAGGGCAATAACTATGAAATTATTAATAAATAGTTTAATCAATACTTAAGGAGCAGAAAAGCTGTAAATATCTAAGTGTCCACAAAAATCTCGATATAAACCACAACTTAAATTGTTAAATTGAACTTAAATTGTTATTCAGCCACAAATACTTTGATAGATTGGAGGTGATACTGAAAAGAGAACTCAGTGCGTAAGGAAAAATTACTGCTATTAATAGCTGGGCAACCCCAATATTAACATATTCTTTTGTACTTGTGGATTTGCATACGCAGTGTTCTTGATGATTTAAATAAGAAAAAAATACCAGTGCCTTTACCCAGGGCCATTTGCCACAGAGCGTAGGTGGGCACAGACTTGTCAACATTAAAAATATCTGTATGGGGGGGTGTAGTCCAAGAATATCTGGGGACCCAAGGTTGGGATCCACTGAATTAGAGCATTCTCATTTGGGTTGTTGTGGGTTTTTCGGGCTCTTTGGCTGTGTTCTGAAGGTTGTTCTTCCTAACCTTTCGCCAATTTCTGTGGCCGGCATCTTCAGAGGACAGCACTCTGTCCTCTGAAGATGCTGGCCACAGAGACTGGCAAAACGTCGGGAAGAACAGCCTTCAGAACACGGCCAAAGAGCCCGAAAAACCCACAACAACCATTAGGTCCCGGTCGTGAAAGCCTTCGCGAATACATTCTCATTTTAATTGGGGTGCAGTGCCACAAATATATTATGTCATTGAGGAATGGAAACATGACTTATTCTGTGTTTTGATATAACTAGGTCTCAGGAATATTTAAGTCCCTCAAACTAGTTTTCTTGGCATTACATAAAAATGTTAATTTTTTAAATAAATTTTTGTAACACAAAGTCAAGGAGAAACTGAAGCAGTGACAGCCAAAGTAGACATTAAGGGGTATGGGTATTCACTGAGATTAGTTTGGTTCTGTTTCTGATTTACTCCGAGAAGTGTGTCTCAGTGATCAAATTTGTGAATTCAGGGTATGTTTACCTTCCAGTGGCCCATCATGGGACAAAGCATGGCCAACTGTAAGGTGTAGAAATAACGAGGAGCACTCAGATTACCAATTAGAGGGAGCACAACTTCTGACAATGTGCTAAGTGTACTTATAACATTTTTATATTGCCCCACTTAATGAACACCCATTGCTCTGGGCAGTCATACAATCAGAAATCATCCCCTCACAGCCCACCTCTACCTTCCAAAAACAGATTTTTTTAAAAAATGAAGCACATAACAAAACTCAAACTAAGAACTCAATGATGGCATCTATTCCCCAAGGTAAAAATTAAGCCATTGTTAATTTTTGGAGAAGAATGTCTTAAAGGCCCCTTTAAAGAGTTCAGTTTTTACTATCTTTTTGAAAGTCTGGAGGGAGGGGGCCTTTGGAACAGTCTCCCACTGCCAGATCTCCAGTGGGAGACTGTTCCAAAGTGATAGGGCAAATGCTGGGAAGGTCTGATTTCTGGTGGAAATTGCCCAGCATGCCCTTGAGTCTGGCATAGTTCTCAGCATACGTGGTAAATTTCTGATTCTTTCAGGGCTTCAGAGCTGGCTAGAATACAGAGAAGTAAATGCAAAACATGTAGGACTAATAGTATGCAAAAATGGCTGAAATTCTTGTTGCTTAATGTAGTAACTTGCAACTAGAGTAGGCTCATTGAATCAGGGACTTGCAGAGGAGTTGACTTACCAAATATCCACTGATTCAGTGGGCGTATGCTAGTTGTGACTTAATACGCTAAATGACAGGATTTCAGCCATTCTTTTAGTTATTGGGTATCCAAGCTTGTCTGGTTCAGAATGGAGACTTCTGTTTTTGATATTCTTGCCATCTTCTTTTTTAATGTGGGGATGGAGCTTTATCAGAACCCTATTCAGGTGATATAAATGCCAGCATTGTGAACATGCTTATAGGGCGAACACTTAGCTTTGCCCCATTCTCATTGTATTCTTCATAGTTTCAGACCCAGATATAAATAGCATAGAGGCTTGTCTCAAATAACCCAGGTTTTCTGTGGTTCTTGCTGGCATTTAATGCCTATCCATGGACAGATCCAGACCTGAAATTATGAAGAATGGGACCAAAATGAGAAGCAGGGCTAGGCAAGTGTGATGACAGCCCAGACTTTATAATTCATGAATTTGTCTCAGGTTTGTAGCACATCAAACTATGCTTGATCTGCATTACTTTCAGATTCTTATGATGAGCTGCACTAATTATGCAGCAAAGTGAAACCTTGTGTTTTCTCTGAATCTGGGTTGGCTATGACTGCAGGAGCTTTTTGCTCATTCTATTCTTTATTTATGTACAATACATTTACATTTCCAGCAATGATGGAGCATAGATGTAAAGCACATGCCATACTGATTTTTCTGGATTATCAAATTATCTATAGCTTAAAACAAGAAGACTGCATGAGTTGTATTGTTACAAGGTATGACAAGTGTAAATTAAAAGTGGTTTTTAAGGGGATGACTGGCCTTTTCAGGAACCGCTGTTTCTTCTTCATGTAAAAGAGGGAGTAATCAAAGGCATCATTTTAGCAAGTCATGTAGTCAACTTGCAGAGGCCGAATACTCCGTTTTTATGGCGTTTAAACTC